AGAGAGAGAGAGAGAGAGAGAGAGAGAGAGAGAGAGAGAGAGAGAGAGAGAGAGAGAGAGAGTGTTCTTCTTCTTCCTTTAAGTCCACCATCTCTCCCTCACCGTCTCGCTACCTGACTTCTCAGCACCCACAGACTACGAGAGAGAGAGAGAGAGAGAGAGAGAGAGAGAGAGAGAGAGAGATTTGCGACTTTGAGATTTGACGACATTTGGATTCAGACTCGACATTGGGATCGAGACATTGGACGAGGGATTATTTGGGACCTGTACCAAAGACTTGGTGTTGACGACATTCCCATCTTCCCCCTCTTCTTCGTCTGATTCCCCTCCTCTTCGTCTGTGTATGGTTGGGGACTGGCACATTCTTCCTGTGTGAGCGCCAGGCCCCTTCACACCATGTGATGATGATGATGTATGTTTCGTCTGCATTGCGACATTGATTGGTCTGATCATTGGTATTTTAGCCTTCCGCTGCGCTATCCCGTACTATGTGAGAGAGGTCGGTTCTTGTTCTGGTCTGTACCGTTACGGTATGCAAGTTTGGTATCGGAGCGGTCCTCTCAATGAGAGGATCTGCCCAATCAAGGAGCCAGTTTGCTTGATCGACTGATTGTTGATTGATTGATTGATTGTTTATTAGTGAATCAAGTAGGGCTTCATCAAATCTCTGCAATTTTTATTTTTTTTTCGCAACTTCGGATATTAGCATTTCGTTTTTTTTTTTGTTTCGCTCTGGGCATCTTAGGTGAACTCGGGAGGTTGTCATATTCTCGGACTCGATCTATTCTTCTCTGAAAGTGGAACCTCCATTCTATTTCACGCAAAAAAAAAATTCAAGATCGCTTTTTTTTTTTTTTTTTTTTTTTTTTGGTTGGGGGGGGGGGGAAGAATAGCCCTTGCGATATCCCTCTATCCTGGCGGTGGTAAGAGAACCGTCAGAATCGAGGGCTTATCTGTCGGGCTGCTCCATCTATTGGTGGGGAGCAGCACCTGCTTGAAACCGGGTCCAGCATCCCATTGATACAACTTACAATACATATATAATACAGATATTGGTGTTTGTTGTTTCCCAGGGCTAAGGTGATAGTCGTCTCTCCCCCGGGCTCCATTATCCCTTGGAGCTGTTATTTTCCCCTTCCTTTCATGGAGCTCCTCCTATTCTATTAGCCCAGCCCTAGTTCAGCAGCCCCCCTAAAGTGAGAGAGTCCTGTTCTGCAAGTCCTCTGTGCAATGTTATTGAGAGGTATCCCTTTGAACCCTTTAAACCCCTAAACCCTCTCTGTGTAAGCCCTCGATTCCGGCGGTGGTAAGAGAACTGTCCGAATTGAGGGCTTGTCTGTCGGGCTGCTCCATCTATTGGTGGGGAGCGGCACCTGCTGGGAACCGAGTCCGGCGTCCCATTCATACATCTTATAGCACAGAGGATGTCCCATTGTTACGTCTTAAAACTCAGAGAGTGTTGTTTGTTGTTTCCTAGGGCTGTGGCCATTTCTGTTGCATCCTGGGGCTCCGTTATCCCATGGAGCTGCCAGTATCACCCGTCCCATCTTGGATCACCCCTTCTCTATTAGCCCTGCCCTATTCAGCAGCCCCCCTATTCGCTATTGCTATGTCTGTTCCTTTAAACCCTTGAAGCCCTTTAAACCCTTTACCCTCTGAAGGCCCAGGTAAAACACGTCTGTGATCTCAGCAGCCTGAGGATCAGCAGGAGGTGGGATACAATCCAATGCAACACGATGCCGCTTTTGGAGTACGATGCAAGATCGCTTTTTTTTTGACAGCTGGAAACTTTGTGAAACCTTGCCTAGATCTCGTTCATAGCACTCCTCCCTAATGCCTCACTGATAGCAGATCAACAGATATCAGCACCCCTACCACTGTCTCGGGTTGTACTTAAAAAAAAAAAAAAAAAAAAAAAAAAAAGGGGTGGGGGGGTGATCCTGTTCTTTTATTTTTTATTTTTTATTTTTTATTTTTATCCTGTTGATTAGGACCGGGAATGGAAAGTGCAGTTTTATTACCTTCCTGCGTTTCCCTCCCACCCACCCTTTGTCTGCATTCTCGGTTTGGTAAGTGCCACGTCAGCAGCAGTGCCACATCAGCAGTGCCACGTCAGTACTGCCACGACAGCAGTGCCACGTCAGTAGCAGTGCCACGTCAGCAACAGTGCCACGACAGCGGCAGTACCAACGTCAGCAGTGCCCTGCCACCATGACGGTTTCAGCGTTGGGCATGCCAGGCCAACTGGCCAACGAGTCCATTGTCGAGTACCGACAGGCGGCGACAGCAGTTCCGAGCTCAGCTCGCACTGATCGAGTCTGAGGAACAGCGCCAGGCGGCAGCCGAGGCTGCCCGCCTACAGGCTGAAGCGGAGGCAGCAGCTAAAAAGCAGCGGCTTCAGGCCGCAGCTGATGCAGATGCCCAGGTCCGCCGCAAGGAGGCCCAGGATCTGCTGCAGCGACACGAAGCCACCAGCGTCGACAGGCTAAAGTTCTGGCATTTTGAACCATCCGAGGACCACGACGACGCAACACCGGAAGAGCAGCACAAGGAGTTTCTCTCCAAACTCGTGACCCGGTTGGTTTACACTTGTAACCACCTGCAGTCCGAGCTGGTGAATCTCCGACGGGCAGTGCGGAACCACAAGGATCTGCACGAGGATGCTACACGGGCACTCCATTCCCGTGTACAGGACTTGGAGCAAGCAACACCAGGACCAGCTGTTAGCGAACCCAGCAGTGCAGCCTCAACCCGCTAGTTGGAGCAACGAGTTGACAATGTAGTCGCAATGCTCGGCGACATCAGCACCTTCGCCGCACCAACCACCACCAGTGAGCAGCTCGGCACCTTGAAAACCGAGCTCAGGCAGCTACACCAGCCGCCCGACAACGATGGCAACACCAATGCATCGCGGCCATATAAGATGCCGACTTTCCGGATGGAGAAGTTTGACGACTATACGCATCAGTATCCAGCCGTCTGGTGGCAAGGCTTTTCAATGGAAATTGGGATTCATGAGGTCTCCAATCACTTGTACATCTCAGCGATGTTCCTAAACGCCAAGGGCGGATGCCAGATCTGGATCAGCCACATGGCAACCATCCACGGCGTCCAAGTCTCCGATCTGCACAAGAAGATCTCCTGGGACGAGATGAAGAGGGAATGGAAAAAGCCGTTCATTGTCGACGACGCCTCGATGCTAGCCATTAACCGCTTCTTCAGCATGACTCAGGGCAACACATCGACACGCGACTGGTTCACGAAATGGCAAAAGATCGTCGCAACACCCGATCTTGCCTTGCCATTTTCGCATCTGCGCCGGAAGTTCTACAATCGGTCGTGTGCCGCCTTGAGCCTCGCACTTGGTGATCAAGAACAGTACACGACCTTCGTTGAAATCATCGACAAGGTGCATGAGATCATCAAGACCAACCGGGTTGCTGCACTTGAGAAGTCAGCATGGCAGTCAGCCCATGTGGAAAAAGAAAAATTTGGTCCGCGTCCGCAGCAAGTCGTTGCAGTCCAACCGGACAACATTGTGGAAGACCCGGCAGCCACCCCAGCATCACGTGAGGGAGATCAGGTGGCCGCTGTCCAGCCACGAAGCAACAACAACTTCCGAGGAAAAGGGAGAGCGAAAACCGCATCGCCGGCCGAAAATGGACAGCCAGTACTATGGGTGAAGTTCAACTTGACCGAGGCCGAATATAAGTACCGCAACCGATACGGCTGGTGCTATTGGTGCAACAACACCAAGCACAAGACCTCCCAATGCCAAGATCAAGGTAAGGAGGATGTTCGAACTGGAATCAACTCGGAAAATTGAGTTGCACGGGAGGTGAGGCAACTCCACCTCTCACTCCGCCAGATTTGGGCGCCTTGCTAGCGGCCTCAACACATTTGGGGAAAATGCGGATGTCGCGAGTCCTCGGTTCACTTACGAGGATTACGCTGGCGACTTGGTCCCACCGTTGGGCCAGCCTCTCCACGTGCAACAATCCAAAGCATGCATGGTTTCACCACCATCGGCAACCGATTCGGCAGCTTCGCCGCTAACTTTCGCCAGGGATTCGACGCCATGGTCAAGGCTTGAGAAACTCGACCCGTTGACGTTCGCGGACTTCCAATGGATGCCCCTTCCCCCGATCGGTAGATTGCCGAAACCACATTGCAACGTGCCAATGGCACAATTGCGGGATTACTTGCACACTGTAGTACCAGCTCTGTTGATGAACGCCGGAGTAGAGGTTCTTGACCTTCACGACTACGTTGCAAACATTGACCGTGCACAACGGTACGACGACATCGACGCGCCATTGTTGTACAAGCATTCAGATTGGAGAGGCGACCTGCAGCGCTTTAATCGATTGTGGAGCTACGCGCAATTATATCAGCCAAGACTTTTATGGTACGCGCTGACCTTGGGCCACACGTTCGGAGGAAGTCGTAGCCCACTCAAGTCACGTTGGCCGACGGTCACACGTACAAGTCAATCGATCGGTGCATTGATTCCGTCCCTGTGTACTTCGCCCCGCATGCAAGCGAGGCCGTGTCCTTCGACATTTTTGACACCCAGTTCGACATGATTTTGGGCATGTCATGGCTGCGAAGCGAGGATCACCCAATGAACTTCTCCCACCGCACCGTTCATGTTCGTGATCGGAACGGAGTACTAGTTTCATGCACGGTGCCTCCACCTCACCCTTCGATCAGCTGTCACGTGGTGTCCGCCACAAACATTCGAGCTTCTATCACCAGGGACGACATCGAGGAGATGGGGGTGTGTTTTCTCCATGGCATTGCCCTCCCTCCCCATGACATCCCATCGACGGACGCATCAACGGACCAAGACGACATGGAGGAGATGGGGGTGTGTTTTTTCCATAGCATTGCCCTCCCACCCCATGACATCCCATCGACGGACGCATCAACGGACCAACGCATCACCGAGCTTCTCAACGCCTACGGCGACGTGTTCGAAGCCCCGTACGGAGTAGTACCGGATCGGCCCATCCGCCACGAGATCATCCTCGAGGCCACGACCGTACCTCCACGTGGTTGCATCTACCGCATGAGCGAGGAAGAGTTAAGTGTGCTACGGGCACAACTCGACAACCTTATTGAGAAAGGCTGGATTCGGCCTAGCTCTTCACCATACGGCGTTCCCGTTCTCTTCGTCCGAAAGAAGAACAAGGACTTGCGGTTGTGCATCGATTATGGTAAGCTTAACGCGCAAACCGTCAAAAACGCCAACCCTCTTCCACGCATCGACACCATTCTTGAATGGCTATGCGGCGCTAAATTTTTCTCCAAACTTGACCTCAAATCGGGATATCACCACTCAAGATCCGGTAGGAGGACCGCTACAAGACCGCGTTCAAGACGCAATATGGGCATTTCGAATGGCTAGTTATGCCTTTTGGCCTTACGAATGCCCCGACCACGTTCCAAGCGGCTATGACGACGGAGTTCCGACACATGCTGGACAGATTTGTACTCATCTACCTCAACGATATCTTGGTGTACAGTCGGAGTTTGGACGAGGAGCATGTGGAGCACATGCACACCGTTTTGGAACGGCTACGACAAGCCAAGTACAAAGTCAACCGCAACAAATGTGGATTCGCTCGGCAAGAACTCGAGCGATCGAGGCCATCCGAGTACGGCCCGAGCCCACCAACACCACAGAAGTTCGCTCATTCATGAAGTTGGCGGGCTACTACCAACGCTTCATCACCGGGTACTCAAGGATTACCGCACCATTGACGAGACTACAATCGCCAAAGGTGTCATTCGTATTCAACGATGAAGCACGCCGGTCATTCCAAGCACTCAAGACGACGATGCTCATGACACTCGTCCTTAGCATTTACGACCCCACCTTGCCTACGAGAGTGACGATTGACGCTCCCAACTATGGCATTGGGGCAGTCTTGGAACAACACGACGACGACGACTGGCACCCCGTGGAGTATTTCAGCCATAAGGTGTTTCCCATCAATTCACTTGATAATGCAAGGAAGAAGGAGCTGCTTGCATTCGTGATGGCTCTCAAGCGATGGCGACACTTCCTCCTTGGGCGCCGTAGGTTCACATGGGTCACTGATAACAACCCGTTGACCTACTACAAGACGCAAGATACAGTGAGAAGCACGATCGGACGATGGATGTACTTCATCGACCAATTTGACTTCACACCCAAACATCTCACCGACCACTCCAATCGCGCAGCAGATGCACTCTCGCGAAGACCCGATCTTTGCGCTATGACACATCATGCATTCGCGTTCGACGAGGAACTCCAACGACACTTCATCCGTGGCTATGAGTCTGATCTGGATTACGCCACACTCTATACGTAGTTACCTTCGGATCACCCGCCGACCAACCATTATCGCATTGTCGACGGGTTCTTGTTTCTCCACTTGCGAGGCAAGGACTTATTGTGTGTTCCACGAGACCGTCGTCCTCGGACTCGCCTTCTCGGCGAGTACCACGACTTGCGACTCGCCGGCCATTTCGGAGTCAATTGGACTATCGCATGACTTCGGCAGCAATTCCGGTGGCCCGACCTCATTACCGATGTCACTCGGTATTGCGACTCTTGCGAAGTTTGCCGACGAAGCAAGCCCCGCAACCACAATCCTTACGGCGAGTTGCGCACGTTGCCTATTCCATGGGAACCCAGCCTCTCCATTGCCATGGACGTCACTGGCCAGTTTCCCTGCGACCAGTTTGGGCACGACGACATCCTCATGGTCGTTGATCGATTGAGTAAATACGCACAATTTCTCCCTTGCAAGTACTACGCCACGACTCCCGAACTTGCACGCCTCTTGCACACCGGCTGGATTTGCAGTCACGGCGTACCGGAAGACATCGTTAGCGACCACGGCACTCGTGTCATGTCGGCATTCTAGACTTCTCTCATGCAGGAATCCGACACCAAAATGAAACCAAGTTCGACTCGACATCCACAAACGGACGGGCAAACAGAGCGGGCACATCAAACCGCTCAAATGATGCTTCGTACGCCATCCGTCCGGATCAGAAGGATTGGGTTGATCGCCTCCCCGGCATCGAGTTCGTCTACAACACTTCCTTGCATGCGATGATCGGCGTGACTCCGTTCGAGTTGCACCACGGTGGCCGGAAAGGCCGTATCTTCGCTGATTTTCTCCTTCCATGAACAGTCGACATAGACGCCGCTTGCTCTCCCGCCTCCGTCCGGAGTACAGGGAATTGCTGGCCCAAGCCAGTGTGAACGCGCAAAAGGCTCAAGTCCGCATGCGCGGCAAGCCAACAGGCGTCACGTGCCATGTCCCATCTGCACCGACGATCTGGTTTGGGTCTCCGCGGAAGAGTTTGCGCTCGAACAGGATCGTTAGGTCTCCGATCAAGCTGGCGATGCTATGCAAACTACCCTGCAAGTGGTTTGGACCATGGATCGTCCTTTCAGCTGCAAGCGACGAGCTCAACGACCCATCCTTTGTGATCGATATCCCTCCGCATCTGCCGGTCCATCCAGTCTTTCACGCCTCGAAGCTGGCAACATACACACATGCTAAGAGCGACGACTTCCCGGGTCAACGATCGCAAGACCCTCCGTCTATGGATGGTCATCAGGAAGTCGACCGCGTCATCACGGATCGCAAGTACGACAAAAAGCCTCGACAATACAAAATTACTTTCAAAGCATGTGATCCTGACGACACGATGGATTTCACGAGCAGATTTGCAAGCATCTGCACCGTTGATCTACACTCACTACGAATGACAAAGACTAGCTAAGGAAGCGTCACGACCTGCCCCTCCCACCCGGACTTTGGTCCCTCCCTTCGACAGGCAGCTTCGCCCTCGCAGGTAAGCCCGGTCTTTCAAGGAGGGGGGGGTGTGGCATACTGCACATCCACACGGCCTTGCAGGGCCCGACCAGACAGAAAATAAGTGTCCTCCAGGTCTGTGTCGTTTCAGCCTAAAAACCTGAAAAGGAGGGCCATTTTCAGGCACTCATAAAGTCGGCCTGCCCTCAAACTTAGGGGTCACACCAGGGTTTAGTGCAGGCCATTTTTGGGCCTGTTTCAAGACAACCTTTGTTTGAACTTCAACGCCAGGGTCTGGCATGATTCGACATGGGCAAGAGCAGCCTCCCAGGCCGGACCAGCCCTGCAGGCTGCAGGCAGTTCACGGGCACTTCACGGGGACTTCACATGCAGTTCAGGAGGCAGCCTTCAGGATGTGGCCGCAGCACTCTGCAGGAGTGCTGATGTGATAAGATCAGACCCGTACCGCGCGGCTTGCCGTATCCTTGAGGAAAAATCCCCCGGAAGCCCCGAAGTACAGATGCGAACAAAAAGGGGTTTTTCTTTTTTTTTACTTTTGTTTTTTTTTTGTAACGGCTTTGTCACTTCTCTTTGGTTAATAACTCCCGCGCGGAGGAATAGCGGCCGCGGTATGAAAACCAAGAAACGGTTTCAGTTGGAACTTTTCGAATTTTTGCACGCGCGCCTAAGCTCGGACTTCTTCGCGGGCCTCGCACCCCCGTTTCTTGCTTTGCATCCCCGCGCCATCTTCCTTTCTTGCTGCGCGCGTTTCCCTTATGCAAGACTCTTCGTCTTCCCCTACGCCCAGCTCGATCCCCACCCCGTCTTCCTCCGCGAGTGAATGGCTGCGTAGTTGGGATGCGCGGATCAATGTGGAAGGGGAAAGGCGCACCACTTGAACGAACACCCCAATCACGCCCGACCACGCGACTCCGCGGAACACCTCTTCCGAAACCCTGCACCCTTCTTCTGTCCTGCTTGTCTAAAACCGGCGCGGCCCGTATCTCGCGCTGACAACCTGCCGCCTCCCACGCTATAAATTTTTGCAACCCCCTCCTCTCCTCCTCTTTGACCTGGGCTGCAATGCTGCGCGAGCTATGCGCGAACGTCCGCGACGCCGAACAGGCTTGACGAGCCCAAGTTACGGGCGGAGTAACGATGTGGGTCGGGCTTAGCGATAGACTCGGGGTAAGCCAGCAAGAGGGATTGAGCAGTGGTGGAGATCGGACGCCGATCACGACAGGGTCTTGTGGCTATGGTGGTCGGTGGTCCTTGGGAAGTTTGCGGCTGCGCCTGAGGGCGTCAGCCAATTGGAAAATTTGGTGTAGAATGAAACTCACTTTTTTTTTCTTCATTGCTGCTCTGTCTCCGTGAGATGTATGCAACGTCCCGTCGAGTGGGTAATCGGTTGTATGCGTGGGAGTGAGTCGCGGTGAGATGGTCTGTGAAGGGGTGTGAGTCTGCGTATGCATGTATGTGGTCCTTGGGTATTGCGTGGCGATTGTCTGCCTGGATGCATGATTAAGTCGGCCATCGTACCTCTTTTTCCTTTTGCCTCGTTCCCCTGTTAGTTCCGTTGCTCGATCGCGTAGGGCGAGGGCCTTCGCGTACCGAAGGGACCCCTCCCGTTCTGTGCGCTCGAGTCGGAGTCCTGCGGCGCCGACGTATGACGTGGCGCATCGCTGTTGAGGACCGGAGACGTTCGCTGTGCCCGCTGAAGGTGGTCAGCAAACGGCTCCGCCCCTCCGCTCGGACCCCTCGGGTTGA